GCTGTGGTACCTCAGGCCCTGCACCTCCTTCACTGCCCGCACCCTCAGAAGGTGGCGGCCCCGTGCCTTCAAGCGGGCCCCGCAGCCAGGGCTGGAATTGCTGCGGGTCACAGAGCTGGTGGTGGGAGGGTGGGGTGGACACACCTAAGGCATTTCATGAACACACCTCATTCGTTACAGGTTTCAACTAGAAGACGTTCTCGAATTGCAGGAATCACACGAGACCTTAAATCCTTAGCATACCAGGAAAAGTAATCATTACCATTTACCATCTGGGTCCAACTGCACCCTTTTTACCTGTCTGTCTGTCTGTCTGTCTATCTTTTGAATCATTTTGTAATTTGTAGAAATAAGAATTAGTAAAAATAACTTTATTAGCAATTATAATAAGAATTTAGATTTAGAAAACTCAAATATTTATTTCATATTTACCTGGATTTGAAGATACACATACATATGTATTTACTGATTTTGTGTGTGTGTGTTTTGGTGCATGTGTACATACATGTATGTGAATGCACACACACACACACACACACATTTAGGCACATGTATATGGGTACCACCTTTGATCCATAACAGCAAAACAGTTTCATTTTTAGATTTATGAACACCAAACGATCCACCCAGTGACTGCTTTTATTTGTACAACACCTGTTTCTTCCCAGTTGCCTTGTTACACACACCTGTCTTCAGCACTGATACGGCATATCTAGCAAGTACATTTTGGTGCATAAACATTGTAAGAGATGAGAAGATAATGTGACTTGTCTTTTTAGCAGAATGGGGGGATTCAGGCTCATGCATGGCATCGTGTGACACGGTTCTTCCAGCCGACGTGCTCACTGGATGAGAACTCCGTGCTTCCTTTCGCCCACAGGAGTGCGCCCTCCACTCGCTGGTTCTTGCGATCTTATTTGGACGCCAGGACAGCTCCTCGTGTTCTCTCTGAAGCAACGGTCTTCTCTGTCAGGGAACGCCGTCTTCCTCTACCAAGCATTCAGCTTCGGGATAGACACATACAGAGGTGTGAGGAAGGCAGGCGGCAACCAGCCAGCCAGCCAGCCAGCGCAGCAGAATAAACCCTGTTAACCACTGAGGTGACAGCATTTCACTGGGACTACATGTCACCCTCCCACACGCTGACCCCTGTGTTGGAGTAACTTCACCTCGGATGTTGCCCTCTCAAGACTCCAGGTATGAGATTTCACTTACGATCGATTTCCCCTTGGTCACTGGAGAGCTGGCTATGGGCCTTTTTCTCTTTAACTTTTGATTCATCTGATAGTTGTGAGCTGTTTTCTTTGGCCAGTTTTTTCTCTTTGCCATTAAGAAAGAAGAAAATGAAAAATGAAGAAAATGAAAAATTCTGAATTCTCAACCATGTTCAAAAAAAGCTGAAAAGAAATACGAATCTATGCCACACATAAAGACTTTCAGAAATAACTTTTTGAAATAGGATGCAGTGCTTTGGGTACCACCTAGGAAACCTGAAAGATGATGTAGATGATTTATTTCACTCTTGCAGCATCCTCTGAGCATTCCCATCATTCTTATATCTTGAAATGTTTCATGACAACAGAAAAAAAAATGATCACTGAGACCTCAAAATGTAGCTTGGATTTCTAAAAGGATCCAGTGGATTCATATGGTAATTACAAGACAGAATGAGTTTTATTCAACTTTAAAAAAAAGTCAGTCAGTCTACCCTTTGTTCTTTAGAAAAACGCTAGGAGAGAATAAAAGTTATGAAATATACATCTTTGCAAATAGATGGAGCTTCTCAAAAAAGAAACTCAAAATGTAAAATGTACGTTTATTTGAAGCTTACAACAAAAACCAGTATTTGTCTGACACCATAATTTCCTTTTTTCCTCCCAGCGTCTGGAGGCTGGGGAAGAGATCAACCATGTACACAGAGGTGAAATGACCCTGCTTCGAGTGTGACAGGTGTCATTCGTTCAGAGCCCGACACCATGGTTCTGGAACAGCTGACATGGGCATCACCTCCTTATTTGCTTTTTCACCCCATGGAGTCCCTGATCCCCTCATTTCTCTGTCTGTTGAATGTCTTTAGGCCTCTTTTCCTGACCTCCCAGGCTAGACCCCGTGAACCACCTGAGCAATTCAGTCAATGACAGTCTCGCTTCCCTTTGGTCATGTCTTGAAGTGGTTGTCTGTCCAGCAGGCCCCTGGAGACCCTCATTGTGGCCCCACTGCGCCCCTTCAGCTGTGGCCGGGCTCGTGGGGAAGATCCAGTAGTCATGGATTCGGGTCTTTCCACTTCAGCCTGGGTACCTGTCAACTCTTTACATGTCTTATATCCGTAAATTTCCTCCTCCTGTCAGGGACCACTCCACATTTGATGGTGTGTTTTCTCATCTCTCATCCTCCCACCTCTGCAGACGGGCTTCCCTTCTGATTCCTGGAGGAGCACAGGCTCTTAGGCACAATTTCCCTCAACTTCTTCTATCCACAAGCATATCTTCCTCCACATCCATCCTCACCTCTTCTCCCTTCTGAGGGGCCTGGGGGACGGACCCCTTCTCTCCTGGGCCAGCACGCCTTCTGCCCTGATCCTGCCTCTTTTGTATACTCTCTGACTTTGGCTATAGTTTCCGCTTAACGTTTCTTTAATCCTACTCTCTAGGGGTTCCTTTCTCAGTGTATAAACACTCAAGTCTCAATGTGGGAAAAAAAAAAAAAAGTCGTTCTATGCCACATACCAGGCAGGAGACAAAAACACACCAGTTATTTTAACAGAAAGAATTTAACAGAGGGACTTGAGTTGGTATCTGAAAGGGTAAAGAGTCCCCTCGGGCACACGGGAGCAGTTTCAGGAAGCAGCCTTTACCCCCACGGCTAACTTCCACGGGGAAAGACTGAAGGTTGGAGAGGGGCTTTGAGACTTAAGCTTCTGAGAAGAGGTGCTTCTTGCTGGTGCGGGGTCTCTGAGAGCTGGTTCTGTGAGGCTGGAAAAACTGCACGCTGGAACAAAGTCCAAGCTAGTTCAGATTCCTCCTGCAGGGCTCCTCAGTTGCACACCGCATTCCTTTGCGGGGAAGCCGCCCTGCGGGGTGAAGGAATGGAATAGGCTCAGGCAGGCGGGACCGGAAGCCGCGGAGAGGCTGATTCCTCTCCTCTTCTGGTCTCCCTCTAGGGTCCCCACTGGCAGAGCTACCTGGGATTCAGCGGCCAAGTGGCGTCCCAGCCCCGGCACCCCGAAGCGTGCACGGAAGAGGAGCTCTGAAGCTGACAGACACTAGCTTAGTAACTGGCGCCCCCGCCCTCCTCTCCTGTTTCCTACACACCCGTGCTCAGCAGTCTTCCTGCAGCACCTGCTCTTTCTCCGCTGCCGCTCGTTTCCATGGCCTTTGCTATCATCGTGCCACTGAAATTGCTTGGAAAAGGCCTCCTAATGACCAAGCCCCCGTTCCTGTGCTTGTTTCGCGCGGCTTCCCTGAGGGAGGCATGTGCGGACCTGGCCACCACACGCTGGCTCCCACGCCTCTCCGCGTGCCTCTGTGCTCGTTTCTTCTGCTTCTCCTTCCGGGGTTCCTTTCATTGCGCCCCAGGCTTCTGTTCTCAGCGCCCGACTCCCTTTCTTATTGTGCACACCCCGCTCCCCTCTCCCACCGACGGGGTGGGAAGGTTCTGTTTCATGGTTTTGAGTATTATACATAAGTTGACCTCAAAAATCTTTTTTTTTTGCAGGGAGGGGCGTGGTAATTACGTTTATTTACTTGTTTGTTTATTTTTAGAGGAGGTGCTGGGGATTGAACCCAGGACCTTGTGCATGCTAAGCACATGCTCTACCGCCTGAGCTATACCCTCCCCACCCTGACTGCTCAATCTTTGTCTCTACACTCCACCAGCCTGCTGGCCCTCTCCACCAGGATGTCCAACAGCCACATCAAATTAAATATGCCTAGAGGTGAACTCACTAGCTTCGCCTTCAAATATGCTTCTCCTCCTGTTTTCTTTCCCCTTGAAGATTTTATTAAGTCAATGAGAAAAATGTCCATATTGAAGTCCATTTTCTGTTCTAAGTTATTTTGATAGTTTCAAAATTTAAAGAGTTGAATATACAGAAAAACAATGAAAAACCTCTTCAGTAAAATTTTATGATTTCATAGGAGTGCGTATTTTATAAACAAAGTTTAGGAGGGCTTATGATAGACTGTTGCCAAACAATGCAATCACAAATTAGTACATCAGTAATTTTTTTTAAGCACAACGTGGAGCAATGCCTGTCTTTCTTTTGAATTTTTAAACATCTGCCTTCCTGAATTTTAATTTTTATGTCACACCATGTCACTTGGCTTTCATGAAACCTAAGATGATGCTGTTTTCCTTCGAGATTTGCCATCGCTTTCACAGCGTCAGTTAATTCTTCCTTAATCCACAGTGTAGCACTTTGTTTATTGTGAGAGATGAATCTGTCATGCCTGAAAGAGGAAGGAAAGTCAAGCTCTTCTCAAATACCGTACTTTGAGCAGACTGTGCCACCACAGATGCCACCCAGCCACGGGAGGGTTTGTGGTCCTTCAAGCACAGGTTTGGAGTCCACTTTAGCTGGCGCCCCACACGGACCCCACCCGGACCCCACGCCATCCACTGCTGAGATGATATTAGCTGTTACTTATTCAGCACTTACTGTCTGCTGGGAAAAATCCTCATATGGGATCAATGTTTTTTACACGTTTTCTCTGATCCTCAGAGAGTTAAAAAAAAAAAATCTCACAAAGTCAAAAAGGGACAGAAGTGGGGCTGGCTCCGATGCCGTCCAGTGCTGCCACGCTGCCTCCTGCCTCAGCCGTGGGTGCTCTGCGGTGACGTCTGGGGTCTGCTTCAGGGTGACTCACGCGTGCTCTCCATCTGGCCGAGGATGCCTCTGGCAGATTCTGACGCATCACGTGTGCCCCGTCTCCACCCCAGGGCTCCCGCCGCTCTGCCCCGGCACCCAGCGCTGTGCTTCCTGCCCTCCTTGGACTCTGTTTCTTTCCTTTCTGGCCAGGGTATGCACTTCCGTCCTGGACCCCAACCACAAGTCCTGTCTCCCCAAGTCCTGGAAATGCAACATGCACTTACTGAGCCTCGCCATGTGCTTTCCATTGTGCTGGGTGCTGGGAAAAGGCATGGCACTGCCCGCTTTGTCGCACTATCACGTCCACTCTGCTCACTGCTGTATCAGCACCAGGAGTCCTGAGTGTTACACCTGGCCCCCTTAATTTTCTCTTGTAAATTATTGGGTACCTCTTGTCTGTCGAGTCATAGTTGGCGTGCTTTAGAATAATTGCTCAACTGCTTTCACAGTTCTGCATAGTTAGGGATTTTAAAGATGTTAGGTGAAATGATAAATGTTAAATGCTACTCGTGTACTGCATAAATTGAATATGTGTTCATTCAAAGACTCAATTGTAAATACATAAACAACATCGCTGTGTAAGGCTAACTGAATTCACTTGGCACCCAGCAAAGCCGTTTATTTATACTATAGTAAACCGGTATTAGATGCCCATCTGTGTTCAAGGTAGGTTATATTTGGAGTATATTTTTAAAAGGTAAACTTCCCTTCATTACTTAGTTATCCAGTATGTTTACTGAGGGCCTATCTGTGCCGGACCTTATTTTAGGGAGTGAAGACTCAGCAGGGGACGAAATGAGGTCCCTGCTCCCACAGAAACCACATTATATACCAGTGCTGGGAACCTGCCGCACGATGTAGGAACCACAGGGAGGAAAGAAGGAAAGTGCACGCAGGTCCGTTGTCCAGGTTGATTCCTCAGGGCGCGTCCTTCCTGGTTGTGCTCTTTACCTACGTAGACTTTGCTGTTTTACTCACAAGCAGGGCAACACTTGATTATTTAATGTGACTTTACATTGTACATACCTTTGCATGTCATCGAATAACCTCCTGCCCGCTGGTTTCTACTGGCTGCATGGTGTAACTGGAAGCTATTTGGTCGGAGTGTCTAGCCGGCCGAAAGCATGCCGTCCCTAACTGTGACAGTGTCGACACTCAAGTACATTCCGTGTGTTTAGGGGGGTGGGTCTCAGACTTCAGTGAGTAGAACTTACCCGGGGAGCTTGTTAAAATTTCAGATGCTTGGCTCCACACTCAGAGACTCTAATTCAGGGGGTCATGGATCGGCATTTCAGTAAGTCTCACTCCCCAGTCGGGCTTGTGAGGTGGGTGGTCCCAGAGCCCACTGTGAGAGTCTTTGGTGTGACTTCTGGGAGAAACATGTATAGTCATAACTGCCTTCTCCACTTCATGGAGATCTTGGGTGTTCCCCTCAAGGTAAGGTGGTTGAACCTACACTAGATATTTAAGAGACCGAATCAGAGAGTTGAATTTGGGTTGGGGTAGGGGCTGCTGGAGTCAGAACTGAGGAATATGCCACACCAAGTCTAAGGGACAGGGGCAGGTTTGGAACTGGGACATGAAACTGAAGGCCAGCACACAGGAGTCCTGGGATCAGAATGGAAGCGGTGAGGAGGGGACTAGTCATGCCTGTCAGTTAATGTCAGTGGTGCTATTCTGTGCTGCCCTGGTGCTGTGGGAGGCTTGGTTAATGGGCACGCCAGCTTGACTTAAAGGTATAGAGTCAAGGGTGATGAAAGCTTGCAGAAGCCCATGACACATATTGCCCGTGGGTCAGCCAGAGGTTGTCTGACTCTTAGGACTGAGTGAAATGAACTTGAACCAGCCCCACACTAAATCTTGGCCAGCAGTAGTCCCCAGTCTTCTGGGTGATCTCTGTGCCTCCCTGAGGCTCATATTCGTGGGGCAGCCTCCTACCTGTATTGGCTTTCTGCCTTCTTGACACACATAACTCAGCCTCTTTTCTTTTTGCATGTCCACTAGAAAACCACTCACACAAACATCTGTGGTTTTCTTTTTTGTTTTGTTTTTTTAGATTTGGGGCCCTGGGAAGGGTTACATCCCACCTCGCACAGCCCCACCCCCCACCTGTGGACTCCTCCCTGCTCTTCTCTCTCTCTACCCTCTTGGAAAAACCTGGACTCCTCTTTCCACGACTAGCAGTTCATCAGCCATCTTTTATCCCTTGTGCCCACCCCCTGGGTCTTGTCTTCCACCCTGAGCTCATGTCCAGACATTTTTCTCAGTAACCCTATTCCAAAGAGCTATTTTGCTGTTATAATAAAACTCACTCCCCTTTAATGCACATCCCTGGGCCTGTTCCTACTCAGAGGGTGAGGTGAGGAGGGGCAGTAATTTCTAGCTCTAACGTTACCTACTTAGGAAGCTGCAGGGTTCAGCAAGCAGCCAGTCCTCAGTCTACAGCCGTGGTCGTTAACAAACGAATACTCATCTGTTAGCACTGCACAGCTCCACTAACGAAAGTCAAGTCATTTTTGTGATTTCTATCTTAGTCTTTCCTTCATGCAGGAGTTTTCGTCATTTTCCAGCAGGTAGCTGCCAGGGGAGCTCCTCTGGGTAGTGATTTTTGAAACACTTGCCCTCTAGAGCTGCCTGTGATCATGAACAGAATCACAGATGCTGAAAGAAACACACAGCCTGCAGTGGACACCACCTTTCCAATCAGATTTTGTAGATGAAAGTCACATTCTAAGACCTATTTACTTACATGTAACAAGATTCCTGATTCAGATGTGTCTTAAAATTGAAATGCATGTTTAATATAGCGCTCTGTCTACCCCCCAGCAAAAGTGCTGCTTTTTCATCAGTGGTGCCTCTTACGTCCCACAACATCTTAGAATAAAGGAAATTCTGTGGGAACACCTATCCGTCCATAAACGATCTGGGTTTAAGAAGCGTGCAGCCCTTCCCACCCTACAGCCTCAGTTACAGATGAACAGAAGGGGAGAATCTCTTGTCGATTTGCAGTTCCAAGAAGGAACACACGTGTCACCTCTCACTGTCAGCCCAGGGCCAGGGAAGTGAACTGAGGGTTCCTTTCCGCGTTCCTCACTGCCAACTGATGGATCTGCTTGGGGCAATTGCAGTCAGCCACCACAAGGTGGCGCACAAGCCCCAGGCAAGAAGTTCTGAGGCCCACATGCCTCCCAGACGCCGTCCTTTCTGCATGGCCTTGAAGGATCTGCTGAGTTGTTTACCATGGGTGGGCAGGTTGAGCCAGGTGAAGAAAAGACTCCGTCGAGCATCTGGAGGAGGGTTTGGGCCGCATGAACTGGGAGAGAAGTTAGGATTCAATCATTAGAGTCACAATATCTATTGAACGAATGCCTTCAACTGCCTAGATGTAGGGGACAGGGGCGGGGTAGAAGACAGACACGGTCCTCACCCCCACAGAGTTTGCATAACTGGTCT